TTTTACTGATTCTTTTTCCAGTTGGTGTTATGTGCCATAAAGTCACCCTTGACTTATGACAACCCCATGAATGAGCAATCTCCTGTCCTCAACAGCTCTTGCAGACTCAGTCTGTGCTTCTTTTAGGGAGTCAGTCCATCTCGTACTTGGTCGTCTTTGTACTTATAACAGCAATATCATCGTTAAGTTCGCGGATGATACCACAGTAGTGGGACTCATCTCAGAGGAGAATGAGTCTGCTTATAGGGACAAGGTGAAACAATTGATAAGATGGTGTAGCGAGAATAACTTGCTTCTAAATACTTCAGAAACTAAGGAACTAGTAATAAATTATAGGAAGAAGGGGATGAATATTCCACCATTATTCATCAGTGGAGACTGGGTAAAAAGGTGAGGGTTTTTTTTTTCATTTTTTGGGTGTCCATATTGAGAAGAACATGACTTGGAACGTAAATACCTTAAAGGTACTGAAAAACATTCAACAGAGATTGTTCTTTCTAAGGTTGCTTAGTAAGAATAACATCACTCAGAGACCGTTGGTGTCCTTTTATCGATGCTCAATAGAAAGTGTATTGTCATACTGCATGTGCATGTGGTATGAGGGTTGTACAATGGCCCAGAGAAAATTTCTCCAGAGGGTGATTCAGAGTGTGAATGTGTTTTGTTGCCATTGGAATTTTGTAAGGAGTTTACATGGAGTTTTAGCTGAATGAGTGATGCACTGTCTGGATAGCACTCTGGTGATTTCGTTGCACATCCAACAACAATAAAGTGTCATTCTATTCTATTCTCGTCGTTATAAAATCCTCTATAGGTAGGAATGTTGCTCAGCTAGAGTTTAATATGAAGAGAGAAGCAAAGAAAGAAGTGGTGCTTCTTCTGCCCCTTTCCTTTAAGTGGTTACTCATCAGATAAGTACAGGGAAATCTATGCAAAGGCACTAACTGATCCAAAATCCTCAGAACCTAAAAGCCCTAGCCACAGAATTCCGTGCTTCATAGTGCAATCTTGTGCACGTCTACTCAGACATAAGCCTTTAGTGGATTTCATCACAGGAGAATGTGTGTAGGACTGCCTTTTGAAACAATCTCTCCACAATTTGATTTTTTTCTGTATAGATTTAAACAATAAAAACATATTTTTAAGAAAAGAAAGTGGAAGTCTATAGGATTCCAAATTTTGTACCCAGCTATCTACCAACATGAATTCGACCCAACTCTGGGAGGCAGTGGAAGACAGGAGGGCCTGTCGTGCTCTGGTCCATGGGGTGACGAAGAGCTGGACACAACTTAACGACTAAACAACAACAATCTACTTATGGTTGGCTGAATAGCTCAGTGAACTAGGTACTATCTGGCTGTGGGGCCGAAAGTGGGGAGTACAATTTCTCTACTGTGCCTCCTGTGAGTAGAGCCAGCCTTTGTGTCTTTAGGTAAGCTGCAGAGTCCCAGGGTTCCCCCAAGAAGAGAAGGGTAAGGTAAACCACTTCTGAATACTGTATACTTGAAAAGGGTCGCCATAAGTCAGGATTGACTTGGTGGCACACTATTATTATTACTTTTTTTAAAAAAAAATGTATTTTAATTCTGAAAAATAATGTGTGCCACTGAAATGTAATCGTGTATGTTACAGGAGTGTGTTTCCATAGCAGAGCATGGGGGTATGGGAACTGTAATTTTAAAATACCATTTAAAGCCTTAAACGGGAGTCATTGCCCGTGAGACAAGGGCAAGTTGTGAGAAGGGTGTACCTGCATTGCACAGGACGGGTGAAAAGCTTCCTGGGCTGTTCTCTAAAGTCTGCCGCCGTCAGGTCGCGGGGGTGTTGGCCCGGGGTTCTCCAATTGTAGTAGAGGCGGGGGAGGGGAAGACAGAGACAGGCTGCTTCGGCGTCCGCTTCGCCCAATCAGCAAGCAGCCCATGGCTTAGTCCAGCCCTCGTCCCTGCTCTGCAGCAGAACAGCTTTGCCGTTCCTCGCATGCCTGCCTCCCTCCCTCGGTCTTTTTTCTCTCCTGCCATCTTCCGTTGCAAAGCATTGCTGGGAACTGCATGTGGGTGACGCAGCAGCATTGTTTGCGGGCAGGGGAAGCTTCCGCTGAAGGGGTTCTGGAAGGAGCATGCTGCTGGTGGGACAGCCGCTCGGGCTGCCGGAGTTGGAAAGTGGTCAGTTTGTCTGAGCTCCTCGTGGAAGGAACGAGTATTGTCCTAAAGTAGCTCGTACACTGGAAAAATCGAGACTGCGGCGCTAACTTGGCAAAGCAGAAAACAAAGGGACTTGGAAAGTTCCTTCGAGACTTTCAGCACCTTCAGTGGATGAAGCACACAAGGTCAGGCACACGCGAAGCTTGGGGGCATGGTTCAGAACCGGGAGGGGGAAATCGGTTGAGGAGGAAGTGAGTGCTTCCTTCATTTCTGCAGGATTACGTTACTAGGGCTTGCCTACAGGATTTTGATCTCCGAGCTTCTCCGCATTTTGTCGGAAGTGTGCTTGTACGGAAGAAACTGTAAGAAGAGAATGGAATGCAGGAGACTTCTCCTGGATGTTGAGGGCAGGACCCACTTTTGCATAGCTGGCTTGTAAATTTGGAGCAGTCGGGGGTGGTGGTTTTTCTGTTTGTGATCAGTGCAGTCTTTGCTATTCTGCCCTCACTCCACCCCTATGAGAGGTGCTCTTTCCTAACATCATCTTCCAGGATAGAGCCGAGTGGTTTTATACCCAAAGTTTGCACCGGTAAAGCCTTTTCTCTTGAAGTGCCTCAGGCTGAGATAGTAGAAGACGTTTCCTTTTCTACCTCGCGAAGCATGTGGGTGCCTTCGTGCCCTCAACAGCCGACCTTTCCTCTTCAGCAGACGCGGCTAGGAAGAGGGCGGGGCTTCTGCACGTCTGCTGGGCGAGTCAAACCAGGCACTTCCTTCCACCCACGGCCTTTTTTCTAGGGTGGGGAAGCAGCTGTAAAGCGGACAGGGTGAAAATCATGTTTTTTTTCGGGGGGGGGGAATTAAACCAAATACATTTTCCTCTTTGGAATAACGGATTATGTAAGAGACATTTAATATTCTTTTTAAAACCCTTAATGTGATGCAAACATATAAAAAGTTTGTTAAGTTTCGAAAAACCAAATCTGTGGCACTCTTGTCAAATTTACTTGGTGTTTGACAGAAAATAACTAGTGATGGGCTGAAATGTAACTACTGAAGTGGCCAGTTATCACTATTAATGTTACACATATTATTACTACTTGTGTTACTAATATTTCGATGGTAGCTTTTCACCTTTAATCATTCCACCACCAGGACATTGTGAGACATAAAATAGCACTCCAGAGAATGTAACTTTTATCTGAGAGATAGATATGTGCCACAAAGATTTCAGCTATACATTAAATACTTTCGTGCCATCAGCCAGTTCCTTAATTTTAGATTAGTTTGAGTCTGACTGTTCTGTGGGAACCTGTTTTTTCTTTTGTCATCATTGTCAGCATTATCCCTTTATATTTCCTTTTTGGGAGGTTGTCAGATATACTTAAGTCTCACTGTAAACAGATGGAAGAATATTGTCCAGCTCCTGGGGGAGAGGGAATTCCTGTATGAGAGAGAGCTTTTTAGTGGGGAGGGATCTAAGAGGGAAATTTGCGTAGCACACAAGAGCTCTTCTGGACTAGGTGTCAGAAGCTATTGCAAAAAGAAAGAAGGGGCTCTCTTCCCAATTTTGCCCCCTTAAATTCTGACTGCTCCATGTTGTACATTACCTACTGTGGGAGTGTAGTATCCTGGACAAGAACTACTGATTTAGGCAGACCCAAACCAGTATGTACTACATTTCATGCCGTGGAATAAAATAAACCACTAGGCCTAGGTTCTAGAAAGTTCTAAGCATTTAATATTCAGTTCAGTTTTCTTGCTTAGTGTTCTTCCATTTGTACAGTGAGAAGCAAATAAAATTTTAATTTTGTATCTGCTTCCTTAAACAAGCGCACATGTTAAGTGTAAGAACAAATAATCTGCATGCTCAGAGATTTTGCTACACTCCATAAGTCACGTGATGACTGTCTAGTTGCAGATAGATGCTTTAATTTGTCATAGGATCCAATTAATATTGCTTCTTTATCAGAAGATTGGAAAGTGGTTTAAATCACTGGTGTAAATTGTCCCTCTATCTTGGCAACTTGAACCTAATTACCCTGCCAGAAGGCAGCTCCCTGTACAGGCTTCATAGGGGAATATAAGTCTTCTTGGTATGTTGGTGCCAGGGAGAGCAAGCCCAGCCCATGCAGTGTTCTTTCCCTCTTGGCAGCAGGAAACACTGCACTCCCTTCACAAAAGGATGCCAGCAATGTAACCATAGTAACCTCAAGTAAATAAAGTGCATCGGAAACTGCAGTCAAGAGTAGGTGGGTGGGGTGGGCAGCAAAAGCATCAGGAACAGGACTGTGTGGGCCAGGTCCCCTAGGACTCCAACCAGTTGCTGCTAACACTGAACTGAACTTAAGCTAGTAACTTTGACATTATCTAGCTTTGTGCAGCAGAGAGGTGTACTAAAACAGCCTGTTCTTCAAGAAATATAGCTTCTAGGTTGAACAGCCAGGCTATGCAGATCTAATCACCATAGCTCTGCACTAATGTATCAGGTCTGAAAAATGCATATTGAGTTGGATGGAGGACACTGCAGTAGTGTGGAAGAAGCCATTCTTGGTCTGAAAGGAAAACCCAGATTATCTGCATGTGTTCTATTGTTTTTGTTGCTGCTAATGTGATTTTAAATAAGCAAAGCAGGAAGCCTCTGGTGTATGTTCATCTACAACATTGGCTGATTATATGTGAGAAAGGCAAACCGCTGTCTGCCATCCTTCAGTCCCTTCATATGGAGACAGCAATACTGATTTCTTTTAAAGAATAGCTGTAAGAATAATTAAGACAATATATTTTAAATTGTGAATATATAATACTACATATAAATGTTAAGTCTAACATTAGGATTTCTGTTTTTTCACTGTATTACAGCTGCTGCTTGAAGAATACGCAAACAGTGATCCCAAACTGGCACTTACTGGAATCCCTATTGTCCAGTGGCCGAAGAGGGATAAGGTAAAATAATAGCTCAATAATTTGGCTCAGAGAACTGGAGGTGGTGGGAGAGGCAGGAATCTTCTCAGTGCTTGGAAGTCTTGTCAGCTGGCAGGAACAGCCTCGTAATTTATATCAGAGGACCAAAAACATATCAGGTACTTCCCTTACATCTGTAAGGGCAAATTGGTCTGGCACAAATTGTAGTTAGTTAAATTAAGTGTGGTGAAAATTGCAGCCTTAAAATATCCAGGAGTCATGGTCATAGCTTCTGCTTTGAGGAACCATCTTTGACATAACTCAGAATTAGTTAATGATAAATACATGGCCATTATTTGAACATTCTGTTTCTAGGAACAAAGTCCTAGCTCTTTTTGTACATAATATTTTCTGTTGCAGTCTCTGAAAATTAACTTCTATGTGTCTGCCGCCATTGGTCTTTTGAGATAGAGACTCTTCCTTGGTCACTGATTTATGTCAGCTTCCTAATTTCTCACAATCTTTTCCCATTGACAGCTCAAATTTCAGACTCGGCCAAAGTTAAGATTACCCGCCATCCCAATCACCAAGCCACACACCATGAAACCAGCTCCACGACCTGCAACTGTGAGGCCCACAGTGTCTCCTATAGTTTCTGGTGCACGTAGAAGACGGGTGCGGTGTCGTAAATGTAAAGCCTGTTTGCAGGGTGAATGTGGAATGTGCCACTACTGTAGGGATATGAAGAAGTTTGGAGGCCCTGGTCGCATGAAGCAGTCCTGTGTTCTACGGCAGTGCTTGGCGGTATGTCCTGTGGTATATTAAATGGGGAAATTGTAGCTTTCCTTATTCAAATCAGAGTGTTGCACAAGTTACAATTATGGACGTATGCTACTGTAGAAGGGTTGGCTTCAATTTGCTTGAGGGAACAGGACGGATCCTGCAACTTTTCAGATATCATGAGAACAACTAAAGAAACTGATTGGAAAAAAGCATAGGTCCAGATGTAGCCAGTTTTTCAGTTGAGGTTAACATGGCAGTCATTGTTGAAGTTTAGAGGAGAATTTATGGTGTAATCATTTGTTTTGCTCTGTTTGCTTCATAGCCTAGACTGCCTCACTCTGTCACTTGTGCACTTTGTGGGGAGGTAGATAAGAATGAGGATTCACAGGACTTTGAGAAGAAGCTAATGGAGTGCTGCATCTGCAATGAGATTGTTCACCCCGGTTGTCTGCAGGTGAGAAAACCTGAACGCCATACTTCCATGTAGTTGCTTAACTCATCTTAGCACAGGTTTCAGAAATGCTTGCATTTCTGGAAATTATTACTGAGTTTCTTTTCTGTGCAGATGAATGGGGAAGGGTTACTTAATGATGAACTGCCCAACTGCTGGGAGTGTCCAAAGTGCTACAAGGGAGATGAGGCAGAGAAAGGACAGGTAAGAAATAATTTTCAAATAGCAGTACACTTGTCTTTTGCTATTAGAAAAAGCATTTGTGTAACACACTGCTCTTGAGTAGTGACAAGACAAACCGTTGCATATAGAAAGGCTTAAAAATTCTCTCTTGTCAGTACCTAAGATAACAGAAACATTATATTCTTGAGTCTCAGTGTACGCACCTTATTTGTCCTTGCATGCTGTAAGAAGGTCCATGATAATAATCATGTGCCATCAAGTCAATTCTGACTTACGGTGACCCTTTTCAGATTTTGTAAGTAGAGAATACTCAGAGGTAGTTTACCATTCCCATCTTCTGATGGCATCCTGCAGCTTGTCCAAGGACACATAGGCTAACACTGTTCACAGGAGACACTGGGGAATTTAACTTCCAAGCAGTGGCCCTGCAGCCAAATAACTAACCCACTGAGCTATCCAACCAGGCAGAGGTGCTCAATTCCTATTTTAGTTCATTCCTTTCCCATAGGACAGACTATGGATCTCCAGGCAAATGTAGTGCAAGTGGAGGGGACAGGATGGCAGCTGGAGATTGATAAAGGATACCTTGCCACCTTGAATGAGTTCAGATCTCCAGGGCCAGATGAACTGCATCTGAAAGTACTGAAGGAACTGGCTGTTCTATTGGATCTTGGCGCTGTTTCCTCCTAAGGGGGTGTGTGAGCACAGCGCCGAACAACTGAGAGGCAGCAACCCTCTTAGCGTTTATTATTAATAAAATGCCCCCCTCCGCCCCCCTCTCAGCTGTTCGGCGCTGTGCTCACACACACCCCTTAGGAGGAAACAGCGCCGGGATCCAATAGAACAGCCGGATTCAAACATCCGGGGAGAAGCCCCGTGTGCGCCAAAGAGGCAGAGGCGGATGAATGTAGTGGGCCGAGGGGGAGCGGCGTTCCGGGCCGTTGTTACAGATGCTCCTTGGTCTCCGGGGCTACCTGGTAAGTGACTTTTTTCGCCCATACGAACGTATTTATGAAATTTCATTTGAAATGTGTTGAAATACATTCCCATACGCACCTGGCAAGATGAAAATTTTTGCAAGGTGACATGTCTTGCAAGTCACTGAAAAACTCACAAAACACTTTCGTCTTGCGAGTTTTTCGTTGTGCGAGGCATTCGTCTTGTGAGGCAACACTGTAGGAAAGTGAAGGTGGACAAAGCAAAAGGAATGTTGGAAGTGCCTTCTGAAAAAGCTGAAAGAGTATCCAAGGGAAAGGAGCCAAATAGAAATGTGTGCTCCTGGATGTTCCAGGTGCTCTTTTTAGCTCTGCATGAGCAGCATTTATGGTCTTGTTCTGGCGTTTGTTGAGAAAAGGCCAAAGCTCTTCCCCTTCCTGGTCCTCTTCCAAACCGAGGTAGCAGTTCTTTGGGGCTTTGCACAGCCTCTTCCCTCTTTGAGCTCCCTCCCCCAGTCAGTCTTACCATTCATCTTCTGCGTCTTTCTATTTCCGTTCTGTCCCATGCAGGAAGAAGTGTTAACACAGCAGGTCCATCTCCTCTCTTAGCTATAGTGGCACAGCTGCTTCTGTGCTCCCCTTGGGTGGAAATAATTAGAACTCAAAAGCATTAAGGAGTAAAGAGTCAGCAGCAAAGAACCTTTTTTGGGTCCACCAGGAGGATTCTTTTAGGACTCTTGCACTCCTGAGATTCAGGGCATATATCTGCATTCTAGATTACTCTCTCTTCTCCTCTAATAAACAAGTGCAATACCTACTATTTTGAGTTTTCAGTTGTAATTGTGAAAAACCTTGTGCTGGATGCCACAAGGAAAGGAAAATGTATCCTTCAGTGAGGAAAGTTTAGTTCCCTTCAGTATATGAGAGCAGGCATCCTCATTCCCATCCACTCTGGTGTAGTAGTTTGCTTTAACCTAATTTATTTTATTGTGACAGTCTCAACCCTAAAATTGCTTCTTGGTAAACTTAATGCCAATCACTTTGCAGAAGCGGAAAATGGATGATGGTGATGATGACACAGTCCAAGCCAAAGTCCTGCGACCATTGCGAAGCTGTGAGGAGCCTCTGACTCCACCACCACATTCACCTACTCCAATGCTGCAGCTGATCCATGACCCTGTATCACCACGAAGCATAGTGACACGGTCCTCTCCAGGGGCAGGTCCTAGTGAACATGGTGCCAGCCGGGATGAACGCTTTAAGAGACGTCAGCTACTTCGGCTGCAGGGTACAGAGCGTACGGTAGTCCGGGAAAAAGAGAACAACCCTAGTGGCAAGAAGGAGCTTTCAGAAGTAGAAAAGGCTAAGCTCCATGGTTCTTATCTTACAGTCACATTGCAGAGACCTACCAAAGATGTGCATGGCACCTCCATTGTGCCCAAGCTGCAGGCGATCACGGCCTCCACAAATCTACGGCACTCTCCCCGTGTGGTCATGCGTCAGAGCTCAGCCAGGACAACCCAACGTGGTGGAGATGATGAAGCAGCTGAGGAAGAAGAAGAAGCAGAGGAAAGTGCAGAGGAGGAAGAGGAGAATGTGGAGGAGAGTGGGGCAGCCAGACTGAATGGTCAGGGCAGCAAGGCACCAGATAGTGAGGAAATCTGGATGCAAAAGGAAGTGTGGATGTCTGTCTTCCGCTATCTCACTCGCAAGGAGCTTTGTGAATGTATGCGTGTATGCAAAACCTGGTACAAATGGTAAGTGAACAGAAATTGCTGCTCAGGTGGTGTTTTCTGCTTATTTGCATAATATTTTTATTTTTCAGTATGCCTTACAAATTCCTGTATTTGTGTGTATGTGTGTGTGTGTGTGTACTGTCTAGTTCAGTAGATATATATATTTAGTATACTAACATTGAAATACACTGGTGCCTTGACTTACGAACGTCCCAACTTATGGCCATTTTAAGTTACAACCAAAAAAAGGCAGGGAATTCAAATTGCTAAGCTTTGGTGGCGAAGAGGCTGCTTATTTGTAGCTCTTTCACCCCAGTGGTTAGAGAGTGTGCAATCGGAGGAGGCTTCAGACTGCATGGTAAGGTGCTGCTCTACTTTTTAAAAACTGTTCTGGGTGTGTTTTACAGCGTGGTTTTGGACTGGGTAGTGGGATTATGTTTCTATGCTGTGGGTCTTGCAGGGTTTGTTTTTGGGGAGGGTTTCTCATTTCTGATGGGTCTTGTAGGGTTTGTTTGCTTCCCCCCCCCCCAGTTTCCAATGGGTCTTGCGGGATTTATTTACTATTTGTTTTTTTTTCTCATTTCCGATGGGTCGTGCTGGGTTTGGTTCCTTTTTGGGGGTTTTCCCCGCCATTTCTGATGGGTCTTGCACGGTTTGTTTGCTTTCTGCTTTGCTTTTTCCCCATTTCTGATGGCTCTTGCACAGTTTGTTTGCTTTCTGCTTTGCTTTTTCCCCATTTCCGATGGGTCTTGCATGGTTTGTTTGCTTTCTGCTTTGCTTTTTTTTGTTTTGCATTTCCAATGGATCTTGCACATTTTGTTTGCTTTCTGCTTTGCTTTCCCCCCATTTCCGATGGGTCTTTTTCTTCTCCCCCGCCCTTTTGGCCAGAACGGATTGATCGTGTTTCCGATGGGTCTTGCAGTGGTTTTTGTTTTGTTTTGTTGGTTTTTTTGGTGGCTTTTTTCTTTGGCCAGAACGGATTAATTGCATTTCAGTGCATTCCTATGGGAAATGGTGCTTCGACTTACAACCATTTCGAGTTAAGACCGGAGTTCCAGAACCAATAAAGTTTGTAAGTCGAGGCACCACTGTATAGCAGTTAGTCTTTAAGGCCATTATCTTCTTTATTTTTTTCCTTTTATTTTTGCCTGATATGTTAGCAGACTAATACCACTACCTCTTTTAAAATTATAAATTCCTTTCTTTCTGTCTAGTTCAGTTTGCTAGACCTGATCTTATAGATCTATATAAATCAATTTTAAAACGAAGGGTTCCAGCCAGACAGCAAAAGTGAAGGTATTTATAGTTAACATTTTGAGTGTATACTATAGGATGCAGCGATGTCTAGAGGCTTGGATCATGATTTTTGAAAGCATTAGACAAATCCATGGATGGATTTATGAATAAATTATTCTTATTTGAAATAGCCAAAAAATCAAACTTCCATTGTCAGGAGCAAGATATCTTTCAGGATTTACAACCATGTTGGGACAGAAAAGAAGTGTGACTTTAAGAAACTAACTTACCTTTCTTATGAATACTGAATGTTAGAATACAAATACTGTAGCTTGATTTATGCTAGCAAATTTCAGTCTGTCCTGATTGGCCATGGCCTGATTGAGCCCCATATACTGCTTAAAAGTTATAGCAGTAATCATCTTGACCTGATTGGTCAAATCTCAGAAACTCAGCTGAGCAGCACCACATGTCAAAGCTCCTGGTTCATTTATACAGTGCATCCACAACTACAAAAGGGTGATATAGAATTCTCACATTTGGAGGTCATGGAAGTATTTTGTAAGAACAGACAAAGAGGTAGAATTCGAATGATGTGCTTACAGTATTTATTGCTGATGGTCCACATCAAAAGGTGCATGATGTTTTGTCAGCCAAGTATATCAACAGCATGTCTGCCCAGATCTTGTCCTACCAATACATCAGAATTCAGAAAGGAATAATAGTGGTACTCAGGACCTCCTAGTTGCTAATTTATGCACACTGGTGATGACATTGTTTTGCTGCGGTAATAAGTCATTCTCATACCCAGGCTCCCTTTTTAAAAAATATTTGTCAAGCTTAAGGGTCTGTGGCTTTAGACATTTTTTCTTACAGGACCATGATTCTAGATCATATTAGGAAACTGAAATAAGCCACCTCCTTTTCTCACCTAGATAAAACATGCATGTTATTCTTGACAAATGAAAATAGGAATCTGGCTCATAATGGATAGTTTAAAAGCTTTTGTGTAAGAGCTGCAGCAGATTAGCTAAGGCTGACTCTTCAGTCTTCTAATTCGTAAAAGAGTTGTACAGTGATTGGAAATAGCCATATCTTCACCATTGTGCCTCTGTGCCATTGAAGGATTGGAACTGGATATATGGTATTGCTTAACATTTTGACCTAACCTTGTGGTGTTTCTTCATAGTGAAAAAGACCCTAGACCCCAATCCCCACTAGTAGATGCACCTGATTAATTGACTCATGTGCAGGCTGGAGTCAGGAGGTAAAAGCTATTAAGCTTGAACCATATTCTTTTTTCCCCCCGCTGTTCTCTCAGGAAAGTTCTATCTTAAATATACTTTCTTATACTTAAAGTATAATTGCAATATACCTTTTCACTTTTGCCTATACTCAACTAGTTATAATCAGCCTGCAAGTTTTTTCATTTCCCACTTAGGTTCTGGCTTGTCTTCCATTGAGCATGCCGTGAACAAATAGCCTTGGATGTGAATGAAGAAGCTCTCTTAAATACTAAATTTTTTATTTTTTAATTTGTTTGTGGCTTGCAAGAGATGTGTGGCAAAATAACTCTAGGCAGAATAAAGCTAAGTTTCTCCCAGGGGGCGAGGGTAATTGTTGAGATTGGAAAATTATTTTGTGTCTTTTCTCCACTCTTCAATTAAAAGGTATGTGCATCCATGACTGCCCAGGAAATGTGTTCATTTCTAGAAGAGATTGTGCCACAAAAGATAGGTAAAAGGACCAACAAATATATAGATGTGGCAGATGTAAAGTTTACCCTGTTTAACGTAGTCTTTGTTTGTTAGGTGTGGTGACAGGAGATTGTGGACAAAGATTGATTTAAGCAGGTACAAGTCCATCACACCCCTGGCTCTTGGTGGCATAATCAGGAGGCAGCCAGTCAGCCTTGACCTCAGCTGGACCAATATTTCCAGAAAACAGCTCACTTGGCTTATCAACAGACTACCAGGTGCGTATTTTGTACTGTGTTATGGTGGATGCTGAATATTGAGAATACTAGCTTCAGCTTAAGTGCTCTGACTTGAACCAAGTTAATCCTCCATATTGAGTCATTAAAAACTGCTCAGTAAATTCAAGCATGGAATCAAAGTATGAGATGACTGTGTGTTATGTATGCACCTTGAAAGATAGCCAATGGTGACATTACTTTTTTACCATTACTCTGAATGTTCTGGCAAAGGTCTCTATGGCAAGCAGTGGTGCAGAATTTGAACCTAGACCAGGTGACATACTGTCTCCCATCTTTTATATAAGAGCTTAGAATACAAATCTGAATATAGTGTTACACAGTTATTTTGGTGTTTTTTTGGGGGGGGGTGACAATGCTTTGCTGTTGGTTTCAAAGTGTTTGTGGGAAGACAGCTGTTCTGAAGTGGAGGATTATAACATCCCCCCTTCTTTTTGTCATGATACAACAGGCCTCAAAGACCTCATCTTAGCAGGCTGCTCCTGGTCAGCAGTGTCTGCTCTCAGTACCTCCACCTGCCCCCTTCTCAGGACCCTCGATCTTCGGTGGGCAGTAGGAATCAAGGATCCTCAGATTCGGGACTTGCTTACCCCTCCATCAGATAAACCCAGTACGTATGTGTGTCTGTGCCTGTCTGTCTGTGTGCTTGCTTGTTTTTGTTGTATATTGCAGTAAGGTGCTGCTTGGATCAGTGGGAAGGGTTAGGTTAAACAAGAGGATGGTGAAGATTAGAGCTGGATGCAGCATAAATTCTGAAAGGGAAAGATCTCTTTCCTTCTAACATCCTCCTGTATCTTTCCAAAGGCCAAGACAATCGCAGCAAACTCCGTAACATGATAGACTTCCGGTTGGCTGGGCTGGACATTACTGATGCCACACTCCGGCTCATCATCCGCCACATGCCTCTGCTTTCACGACTTGATCTTAGTCACTGCAATCACCTTACAGACCAGTCAACCAACCTGTTAACAGCTGTGGGATCTTCCACACGAAACTCCCTCACTGAACTCAACATGGCAGGTGTGTGCAACTTGGGGGCTTTCTAAGTGTACCTTTTGTTCTTCACCAAGACATGTCATGGGCTGCTGATAATACAAAGGCTCCATAACATCTAGCCATAACAGCATCTTGGATTTGCCCAGTCTCAGGTGATTTAGAACAGTGGTTCTTAACCTTGGATTACTCGGGTGTTTTTGAACTGCAACTCCCAGAAACCCTATCCAGCACAGATGGTGGTGAAGGCTTCTGGAAGTTGCAGTCCAAAAACACCTGAACAACCCAGAGTTAAGAACCACTGATTTAGAAAGTTAGCAGAGTCAAGGTTGATTAGTACGTGAGTAGAAGCTCTATCAAGAACAGAGGGGATCTGCAGGCAGGGCAGGAACAAATCCTGCCTGTACCACTGTGGGGCTACTGACAGATTGGACAACATGGGCTAGTTAGACCAGCGGTCTGACACAGCAAAGGGCAGCTTCCTCTGTTTCGTCTCCTGTTGGGGTGCTTATTTCACACCTTTCATAGATTTCTTTTTCAGCCATTATTGATCTGTTTCCTTTCAGAACCAAGTATATTATATTAATTTGAACAGTATTTAAAAGCAAGATTTGGAATAGGATATCTAAATCCATATTCATATGTGATGGAAGTACATGGTGCCTCCTTTGTAGCATCTGTACTCAGTACATGCTGACAGGTCCCCTAGGTCAAAAATGACCTGTAAGGAAGCTGGTCATAATTTTGTCCCCCTTGTGCTTAATGTAGAAAGCTACTAGCTATAATCTGAATGTGTTTTTGAAGTAGTATCCATGTTAGTCTGTGCAAGCACATCAGACAAGAAACATAATAAAACAGAAAGAGAGAAAATAAAGAAGACAAAACTGTTTTAGTACCTAAAAGGCTAACTGCTATATAATGTGAGTTTTCATGGGTTGCCATGTAGTCTCTCTTATACCTGAGGAAGTACACTTGATCTATTAAAGCTCACATTAAAATATATCAGTCTTTTACCAAAACATTTTTGTCGTCTTTAATTTTTTTTCTGTTTTGTTATGTTGCTTGTCTGAGAATTACATTTTATGCCTGTGTTTGACATTTCCTAGGTCTATTGATACTACTTCATCTACAGCTGTTCTGCTTGCCTGCAGCATTTGCAGCTGTTCAGTGTGCACAATCATAATACTGTCCTCATCTCTACAGGCTGCAATAAGCTCACAGACCAGTCCCTGATTTACCTGCGACGCATCTCTAATATCACCCTGATAGACCTGCGTGGCTGCAAGCAGATCACCCGCAAAGCCTGCGAGCACTTCATCTCAGATCTGTCAATCAACAGCCTCTATTGCCTGTCTGATGAAAAGCTGATCCAGAAAATCAGCTAGAGATTTGCCACAGACAGACTGAAGAGAAGGAAAAATCACAGACAACCCCTCTTGGAGAGCAGACCCTCCCCCTAGTTCCCCCACCCAGAGAAGATGCCAGCCTGTGACTATAATGTCCCTCCTCTGCTTGGGAGTTCTGCAGACCCGGAAATCCCACCAGGTGTTTGAGGAAGTGGCAATAAGAAGAGATGGCTCTTGTGGGGTGCTTGCTCATCAGCTACATGCTCTAACTGATGTTCTTGTAGCAGCGTTGTCAGGGGCAATGTGCCCCTTCCTCTCGTCTCAGTCCCTCACCCTCATAAGTCCCATAAAAACAGATCGCCCTTCCCCCTTAGCTTGTTGGGGGAGCAGATCAAGATGGCATAGAACAGGTACCTTCTGCTTCTGTCTTTGCTGCCTTGGTATGCAACCTGTTACTGAATGATTGGGCTAGGAGTACTTCTTGTACCCACTGCACTCTGCTACGCTTCCTTTTCTCACCCATCAGCAGCTGCATGGGCAGCTACTGCTTTGTGCTGATTACTCAGAGTTGCGGTGTCCACAGTAATGGTGCCTCTTCTGAACAGAGGTGTTCCCCATGTGTCCTTTGCTTAGCCGGCAGGTTTCATCCAGCTAGAGGCTGGTGGTGAGGGGTGGCCAAGCTTTCACACTGCAGGAGCCATGTTTGAAAAAGATGGCAGCATATGTAGAAGGAAAGCTGCAGTCAAGTTTGAAGGCTTGAGAGGCATCTAGTGGGATTTCAAACACCAGCAGTAGTGGTCTATATCATTACATTGCTGAAACAAGCATTCTGGGAGAGGTAGGCATTTTTCTCCTGCCAGCGTATTGGGGAGTGCATAGCTGTTGGCTCTTGAACTGGGAGATGGGCGAATGCCCCATTAGCTGCCTCTCTTCCTTTGCAATGAATGGCCGGTCCAAAGAACTTCTCTCTTGGGCAGCAGAGAGCTTTTTGCACTTTAGAAAGAAAGGTAATATTTTGGATCCCTATTTTATTTCCCCCTGCCTGAGTGACTGGACACTCCTTCCAGCTGTCTGAGCTTGTCAGGGTTTGAATGCACACTTTGCACTCTGCTCTCTTCCCCATAGTGATAGCACAAATTAGACTGCCTTTCACGCTTGCCTCCCCCTCTGAGCCTCACATGACAAAACAAAAACAAGAGCTCTCCAGTGGCTGCGCAGTAAGGGAAAGGAGAAGAGTGGCGATAGAGTTGGAGGAAGACCCAATGTACCCTCGCTGCTTCTGAAGCAATAAGGGAGGGGGAGGAATCCACCCATAGCTCTCCATATTGCCCAGCCCAGTTGCATTGAACGCTGTGGCACCTGAGCCTTGGGGGAAGAGCAGCTTCCCCTGCACTGTTGGGGATGGGGTGAGGGATATATAGATCTACTGAAATCCAGAAGTTCCCCCTCACTTCCATTTGAGGAGCAGGCTTCTTTGCCAAGAGGACAATGCTAGTGTGATGAGTTCCAGAGTGCCTCAGTACACAGGAGCTTTGCTGCAAATTGAATTTTTCTGCAAAAACGCCCACTGATGATCTTCTAGAAGTGGAAACTTTCTGCCTTGTTGTGTTGGCTCCTGTGGAAAAAAATATGTAGAATCAAACTTTTCTTTCTTTGTTGGTTTTGTTTTTCAAAAGAGGAAGGTGAGAATAGCCATAAATAGGAGATTCAAGTGCATCTGCCCAGATAGCTCCCATCTCGGAGATTAGTAGGCTCTGGGTATTTTGTGTTTTTCTTCTCTCAGAAGTGGGAGCACCTTCATAACTCTCCATATGCATTGATCAGCCTGAGAAGTGCTGAGCTGCAGCAAGTTGGCATGTCAGGAGCATTAGTCTGGGAGGAATTTCATCCTGCGGCAAGAGGGATGAAGCAAGCAGCAGTCTGATTGGGGAGGGTATCATTGTGGGTTTAGGCTTTGCTGTCCTACAGCCTTCTCAAATGTGGCCCTCAAATGACTGTGGCTTAAGAGACTAAAAACAAAATGTAAAACTTAACTGCCTAAACAGGCTGCCACCTCAGAAGGCAAGTGGGTGACATAAAGGAAAGAGAAATTATATATAAAATCACTTAGTGATTAAAAACAAACATGCTCCCTAAATAAAACTCCCTGAAGAAAGTCACTATTGTCTGAAAGGGTTTGGTTGTTCTTTTGTGTTTTTTGGGGTTTTTTTGGAAAAAAAATGTAAATATATATTTTTTGTTGCTAACTTACAGTCAATCTCCAATGTTGTGCTTTAAAATTAAATGTAAGCATTAAGGGTAAAAGAAACCAAGTCTTGCGCTCTCTCGGTTGACATGTTTAGGGTTGGGGGATATTTGGGGCTAAAGGGGGGGGAGCTAGTTGGGATTTTTTCATTTTCTAATCATTTGCCAATAATGGTTTTAAAGAATCTTTCCTCAGACATATTACCACAGGAATGATACACAAAAGAAAGGGGAAAGAAAATATACCAGCCTCTGAAGGGAGACTTTGTTTCATGGGGTGGATTTTGGAATAAAAATTTCAAGAAAAAAAATGTGTGCATCTGCATATTGATTATTATGTCAGTTTAAATCCAAGGTAAATCCCAGCTTGAATAAGGACTTGGTGGTTCATTTAACCATGCATTAATATCTCCTGTATCCCAAGATTTTATGTGCTTTTTTATCGAATAATCTGGATTTGAAGAATTCCATGTTTATGTGCCTAGAAAAGCAGAATTCTGCAGCTGGTGTCAGTTACTGTTAAAATAATAACTGTTTACTTGTTGATAACCTGCCTGTCTTCCAGTGAGGTCAAGGCTGAATGAAGGAAAGTTTTTTGCTTGTTAGGTGTTCTTTTAAGGCCTGCCTGAAAAGAAAGGTCTTTGCCTGCTTGCAAAGGACAGCAAAGATGAGGCCAGCCTGGCCCCCTGTAGGAGGGGGTTCCAGAATCTGGGACCAGCGACAAAGAAGGGCCTCTCCCATGTCCACACCAAATGTGCCCATGAGGGTGGTCGATAGCAAGAGAAAGACCTCCCCTGATGATCTTAACACACACAGTTCCAAGCACTTTCCAAAGGACACCCCACATAGAGTGTATTACAGTAATCTAGCTGTGATGTAACTATGGCATATGTCATTGTGGCCAGGCCGGATCTCTCTAGGAACAGGCACAGCTAGAAATTTTAACTGCAAATGTAGTCTTGGCAACTGCTAAAACCTGAGCATCTAAGCTCAGAGATGAATCTAGATGTATATCTAAACTGTGTACCTGTGTTTTCACGGGGAGTGTAACTCCCATCCAGTATCAGCTGGGTTCCTATTCCTTGATCCACCTTTCAACTGACCAGGATCACCTCTGTTTTGTCTGGATCAAGTTCAGTTTATTTGCCCTCACCCAGCCTGTAACTACAACCAGACACTGATCTCTTACTGAAATGCACTTTGGGACAAGGGCCTTTACAGCTTCCTTCATCTGTTTTTTTCAGTGGGAAGTCTGGACTGTAGGGCCACAGTATTTTTAGATCTTGAACACTCTAATTATGGCGTTAGTATGTTTGATTCAAATATGACTGGTTATAAGAACAGAAGAGCCAGACCTTGGTCAACCATCTCTCCTTCAAGTGTCCACACCTACAAGATGTAGCTATTAATACAGCTCGGAACTTAGTTCATTTCTTGATAAATAAACTAGGAAAAGCACAGAATTGCAAGAATGTTAAGATCGGACTCCATTATTATAAAATTGTAGAAGTATTCTTGAAATCATTCTAATCCTTTTTATTCATCAAAGTGCATGAAGCTCCCACTCTTTGAGGGGGAGCACACTACCTCTGCTCTGCCTGGATAAACCTCTTTATATGAGCCAACATCTGAGTGGCCCTCCCTATTTTCAAACTGCTGCTTTTTGCATTGGAAACGGGATAAGTGGGTCTATGGAGTTACTCTTGACATATAGGCTCTGTGTGTTTAGACTAAAGGTGAATGGAGTTCCAAAGGTGACAGAAGTTCTATATAGCCTTATTCAGGCATTATTCTGCCTGGAGCTGCACGTGTACCTTGAGTAATGCACCTTCACCACATGCTTCTTGGTTACAGCACGAACTCTGAAGTAGAAAGGTTCCTAGTCACATTTAGATTTCATCCACAAGCATCAACACTGGAAAAATCTGGGTTCTTGTTTATATGCAGTGTCTGCACATGGTCAGGACTTTTCAGACACAGTGCTGTAATCTTGAAGAATGTGCTGAATGCAGGGTGGAACTAGGCACGATTGTAGTGTGGGGTTGAATAATGGCCAAAGAGCTTATGTTTCCATTGGCTTCCCAGGTAACAGTCAAAGTGCAGCCACCTCCCAAATATTCATAGAATCATAGAATGGTGAAGCTGGAAGGGGCCTATAAGGTCCAATCCCCTGCTCGATGCAGGAATACAAATCAAAGGATATCTGCCAGGTGGTTGTCTAAGTTTCTCTTGAATGCCTCAAGTGTTGGAACACTTGCCACCTCTTGAGGTAATTGGTTCCACTGTCTCACTAAGAGCTAGGAAGTTTTTCCTGATACTCAATTGCAATCTGGCTTCCTGGAACTTGAGCCCATTGTTGTGTGTCCTGCCAATTTTTCTGTGCCAATTTTTCCTGTTATGTCCACATCTTGAGCATTTTTGTCTTGTGGCACTCTCTAGCCTCAGTCACTTAGCTTTTTAATCTGTTTCTCATTTTAGAATTTTAGATTATTCTCACCTAAAAAAATTATGCGCTATCCATGAAGATGTGGTGCCCAGCCTGATGAAATTGAGCTTTCTGCATGGAAGCTTGCAATCTGATATTTTTTTTAGTGGCCAATAAAAGTTATCACTCTACTCTTGTATTTGTGTAATTTTAAATGCAAAATATTCCCTGGTAGATATCAAGAGCAACAAGGGTCATTCAAATTTGTTATGGCAAGGGACTATCAGATATTCCATCCTTTGTCTTCTAATCCAGATGTCCCTTTTAATAGGTTGTGGTATCTGTATCTGGCCTCATTCTTTCTGAATGATGCATACTAATCTGCTCCTGTCTGAAGACAGGTTAGCTCAATGAGTTAGCTATCTGGCTATGGAACCAGAGGTTGAGAGTTTAATGTATTCACGAAGACTTTGACGGCCGAGATCTAATGGTTGTTGTGGGTTTTTCAGACTCTTGTTAGGAAGAACAACCTTCAGAACATGGCCAAGAGCCTGAAAAACCCACAACAACCGTTGGGAGTTTAATTTGCCACTGTGCCTCCTGGGAGAAAAGCCAACCTGTGTGGTCTTGGGAAAGCTGCACAGTCCCAGGGCACCTCCAGAAGAAGAGAATAGTAAATCATTTCTGAGTATTCTCCACTTAGAAATCTTGAGAAGGGTCACCAACTGTTACCCAACCACTTGTGATTCCAATACTGTATTAATGTTTTAGGTTGGTATGGCTGAAATGAATTGTAGGTAGGTGAGTATGTTGGAAGGAAGGAAGGGCTTAAATAAGTGCTTAAATGTTTGTTTCTTAAAATTAATCTAATTTTAATCAGCCTGTGTTCTGAATACATGGTACTCTTGAAGATGCAGGAGATAAATGCAATAAGTAGAGTAAAAATAAATAGAGGAGAAAAAGCAAAATGTTTAGTATGCATATGGAAACTAAGGTTTTGGCTAAAAGCAAGCACTGATCTAATGAGGGCACATGAAAACTACTAAAAGCAAACCATCTAGATTATGAGAATAAAGTTTGCAGTGGTGGTGGTTACAAAAGTGCACACAGAAGCGTCTGGGATAAAGGCAGAAAAAGTGGCATGAACTCTGCTAGTTAACAAAACAACCATCATATCAGGACATGCCTTCCAAGCTGAAAAAGCATTGCATTTCTTGTATGAACATCAAAGACAATACACTTTGAAACAAAATACAGTATTGCAATTACAAAAGGAATTGTCTTTTTCCAATCAATAGGCAGAAATTCTCTTGTGAAATGCTGAAATTTGCCAAAAAGCTAATGCTAGTGATGGTACATTCCTCTAGCAGTCTCTAATGACAGCCAGAGGAAGATTTAGAGTTGCGGAGGCTGAAACAAACCTACAACTCTGTATACAGCTGTCATACAAAGATTATATTCAGTCCATCTAGAAAAGATCCCAGGTTTACTCCAAGAACTCTTAGTAAAAGGGCTTTCTACAATCAGGATAGGAAAAAAGCTCTGCCTGTAGCCTAGGAGAGTTTCGACTGAACTGCTCTGAGCTAGCTGAATAATAGTCTGATTCCATATAAGGCAGCATCTCATATACTTCAGCATCTTTGGAGCTATAAAACACTGCCTCTCAGTGGCTGCACAACCAAGTGCCATGCTGCATAAATTTCCTGGCAGTTTATTGAGATATTTTTCTATTTCTGCTTTAAAGGGGAGAGAGGTGCCACTTAGGTTTCTGAAAATCCCTTGTGTCTTCATACAGCTAAGCCTGGGTTGCCCTTTTAGAAGCAACTTGGGCTTAGCTGCTGTGCTACTGCTTTACCTTTGTGCTTCCCCATCATTGTGTATTGCCATCATTTAGCTCAAGTCTTAAATCTAGCCTATATTCATGGCTACAAAATAACATCCTTGTGGGGAAACAGTGGCATCCACTGAGCTTTGTTCATAATCTTGGTACTGTACGTGGTGGCTTTGAAACATTTTCCTAGAGTACAGTTTTGCAAATTCAAGTCTGCTCTTTCTCATTCATTGACTGATTAAAACCAGCAGACTGATATGTGAAAACCAAATGCAGCTTTGGAATACTCTGATACTACACCGTGAATTTATTTATTTGATTTATACCCCGCCCATCTGGCCTAAAAGACCACTCTAGGCGGAATTGTTTTGTTGCTGTTGTTTCATGCTGTCCAATTGTCTCTGACATATGGTGACCCTATGAACGAGCAATCTCCAAAATGTCCTGTCCTCAACAGTCCTACTCTGCTCCTGTAAACTCAAGCCTGTGAATTCCTTTAGGGAGTCTGTTCATCTTGTGTGTGGTCTTTTCTCCTGCTTTCTTCAACTTTTTTTAGCATTACTATTCTTCCAGAAAAATCCTACCTTATACGTGATGTGCCCGCAGTTTGTCATTTTTGCCTCCAGAGATAGTTCAGGTGTGATTTACACTTGTTCATCTATCTGGCTATCTCTGGGGTATCCGCAAAGCTATACTCCAGCACTACATTTCAAATGAATCAATTTTTCCCTGCCAGCCTTCTTCACTCCCCAGCTTCCATACCCATCCATAATAATAGCAAATACAAGAGCGTGGAGGATCTTGGCCT